TCGGGTTTGCCGCCAAAAGATCACAAATCACTTGTCCTTTAATCGACTTCTGCTGTTTGAAGTGCAAATCATACTGGGATAAGAGAAGGGCCCACTTCGCTAACCGCCAATTCATAGAGGCCGGTTGCGTCATAAATACCCGTACTGGATTTACGTTGGAAATGACGTAAATCGTCTGTCCTACCAAGTAATGCCGCATCTTTTGCATTGCGAATACTAATGCGAGGCATTCTTTCTCAATCATCAGATATCGAGATTCTGCACCTACCAAGGTCCGACTTAGGTAATAAACTGCCTGTTCGTGACCGCTATCGTCGTCTTGTGCTAGTAAGGCACTTATCGAATGGTTCATCGCTTTAAGATAAATCAAGAACGGTTTACCAGATTTCGGTGCAACGAGAACAGGGGGGTTCGCTAGATATGTCTTGATATCTTCGAATGCTTTTTGGCAGGCATCATCCCAAATAAACGATACTCCTTTCTTGTTCAGCTTAGAGAACGGTTGGCACTTCCCAGAGAGATTTGAGATGAATCGCCGGATGTAAGCTAAACGCCCTTGCAATCCTCTGAGCTCTCTTAGATTTCTAGGGGGTTGCAGTTCATGTATCGCCTTCACCTTATCGGGATCGATATGTATACCTTTAGTGGTGACGACGAATCCAAGGAACTTTCCGCTGGACATTCCAAGGACGGATTTAGTGGGGTTCATCTTCAATTGATGACTCCGCATGAGATCGAACATCGTTTTCAAGTCCTTGATGTGATCTTCTTTATTGCGGCTTTTTACAACCAAATCATCAACGTAGCATTCGACTGTCTTCCTGAGATGTTCTTGGAAAATCTTAGTCATTGCTCGCTGGTATGTGGTGCCTGCATTCTTCAGACCGAATGGCATCACCGTGTAGCAAAAGACACCGAGAGGCGTTCTGAACGCTGTATGCTTCCCATCATCTGGGTGCATCTTGATTTGGTTATACCCTGAGAAACCATCCATAAAAGACATTCTCTCAAATCCGCATGTATTATCGATAATGACATCTGTGTTCAGGTCCCTGAAGTTGATACAGATCCTGATTTTATCGTTCTTCTTCATGACTGGAACGATATTGGCTAACCAATCTGGATGTTG